TGTTTAAGGGCTGGTGAGATAGCTCAGTGGACTAAGCACCTGCTTAGGCAAGAGCAGGGACTGGGCTTCAATCCCTGACACCACATGCTGTGCTGGCCCCGCCCTTGGGTTTGCTGAGCCAGCCACTGAGTCCAAGTGTGGTGCTGCATGCCTGTAATCCCAGTGCTGGGGAGGCTGAAAACACTATGAGTCTGAGCTGCATAGTGAGACTTTGTACCAAATACATTAAAAAAATTAACCTGTGTAAAATTGTTAAAGATATTATTCTAAATATTAAAAGAGTAGGATAAAGTACTTTAGATGATTTTTTTTATCTTTGGAAAAAAATGGCATAACTAAAATTCATTCTTGTTTCAAAACTAAATTTGTTTTATTCTGAAAATAAAAGAACAAAGCTGGAGGTATCATAATATTTTACCTTAAATCATACTACAAAGTTATAACATAGTATTGACATGAAAATAGGCAAATGCACCAGTGGTAGAGAACAGAAGGCCCAGAGATAAATTCAAGAGAACCATCTTGCCCAGAGCCCAGGTCTAGCTCCCTCGGAGACATGGCATTCTCCCGCAGCACCCAAACCCCAGTGGGTAGACTGAACAAGCTCTCTGACCGTGTCCCTGGAGCCACAGCCCTGCAAGCCCAGCTACACTAACAGCTATAGCAGTCCCTTTCTCTTCCCCCAGAGGGGATACTGTGAACAGAAAGAGGGGACACACTTGTGGTACCCAGACTACATGGTAAAAGGTGGTCCCATAAGTGCCATGTCTACCTCGGTCCCATGAGTATGTTATCCACAAAGACTTCCTGGAGGTGGAGTTCTTGCCTGGGATTTCTCCAAAATGCAGTAAAATCCTCCTCTGCTGGCTCTACCCAGCTTCAGAGACAAAGCTAGCTCTGGCGCCAGGGTCAGCACAAGCAACAGAGTTTGGAGCCAGCCCCAGAGCTGGAAGAAGCTCCATTATCAGTTCTGCAAATAGTTCCACTTATTGGTCCGCTCATGTTGTATCTGAGCATATTATTGCTTGTAATTATACAACACAGCATTAAAGATAATAAGAATACAGACAGTTTAGTTTAATTTTCTTTACAAGGTATAAAATGGCCAAGAGTAATTAAGGCCCAAGAATTAAAAAAAAAGAATTAAGATGAGATGTGTACATGTACCGATTCCACACAAGGAAATAAAACATTACATACTGTAAAAATGTAGAAAAAGCAGGGAGGGAATCAGGAAGGATGGGTGGAGAGTGGAGGGAGGAAGTGGGAGGGAATAAAATATTAAAATGCATTATACCCATGTATCAGTTCCCTGTAAGGAATGTAAACATGTACTAATAGAAAAAATCTGAAAAAATGAGTTGCCTGTGAGCAAAGTGATATATTTAATTTTATTTGTCAAAGCCAAACAACTTCTCTTTTTTCAGTGCTAATTCAAAATTAAAGCCCATTTCATAAAATAAAGACTTTGGCTTAATTTAAAAAATTCAACTCACTGACACTTTCATTCACTGGGGAGTCCATGAGCTACTTTGGTTTAGGCCAGTGAGACAACAAACAAGCAAACAAACAAACAAATCCAACCTACCAGAACTAGTAATACTATAATATGCAAATGATAGGCTTAATGCAAGTGGGGGTTAATATATGAATGAGCAAACATTTTCAGAATTGAACTGAGTCATCTCAGAGGAACTGCTCCAAAAGGCCAGGTGTTGCAGGAAACAAGGGACTTACATACATTTCGTTGTATGCTTGGAAGCTTTCAACAGTTGATGTGTAGTAGTAAATAAACACTGAAGATCCAGATTTAAGTGGTGCAGGTCTGTAATCCCAGCACACTGGAAGGCTGAGGCAGGAAGACCACAACTTCAAGCCCAATTTAGGCAACTTAGAGATTCAGCAAGACCCTGCTTCAAAATTAAAGCAAAAATTAAGAAGAGATTGAGATGCAGCTCAATACAGAGGCTCTGGGTTCAATCACCAATGCTTGAAAAAAGAAAACACTGCAGAAGTTTCTTAAGACATGTTTTTCATTCACTGGTATTGTATTGAAGATTGTATTGAAGAATACATTATTAAATTGAGTCCTTCATAAAAGTAATGAATGGGGATTGTTTTTAAAAAGAACGAGTTTTACATTTAGATGTAAATCTAATACTCATAAATGGGAGAGGCATTGTGGATGACTATTTCCTTATCTGTCTGATAGCCACATAGATATATTTCTTCTGTGATTATTCATCAACTTGTGCATTTAATGTGTGTTTAGTTCTCATATAAATGTTATATTTCCATTAGCAAATATTTATTATGAACAAAGCATCCTTTGAATCTACTACTTTTAAGTAACCCACACTTTACCTTCCTGTATCCTCACAGGAGAAAAATGGCTAGGCTGAATTTGGTCTTAACAAATTCAGAGAAAGAAGAAAAGAGGAGAGGAGAGGAGAGGAGAGGAGAGGAGAGGAGAGGAGAGGCTGGCATCCCTTCTGAGGACACATCCTGTTAAATCAAGGTCCCACTTTTATGACTTGTTTAACATTAATATTAATCAGTCAAATTTCTTTTTGGTATAATCAAGCGCAGTACTGTCAGGTACGAACCTGTGCAACTGACCAGACTAGGTATTTGACACGAGTAGAAGATTTATTGGGGGCAGTAAGTAGACTGGCTGTCTAGTGGGCCAAGACAGCATTGAATAAAGGGGGACAAGAGACTTTATAGGATCTTTCAGGGAAGGTGATCACTGGCTGGAACAGCTGAGGGAGAGCTAATCTTGGCAGGGCTATCTGATCTGTGGGGGACCTTTAATGTTAACAAAGGAGAGTTTTGTGGTTGCTTGCCCAGGTCAAAGTCAGGTGTACCTGTTCTGTGGTTTTGGGTTTAGCTCTGTGTGAGGCAAAGGGGGAGAGAGTTTGGGGGGCAGGGTGCCTGGGAAACTTTGAATCCTGACCTATCAAGAACCTTGTGCTCGCCAGGCAGACATTTGTGCTGCTGAACTATATCCCTGGCTTAACTAGTCAGTTAGATATTGATCTCCAAATATAACACTGTAGGACAAGGCTTCAACACATGCATTTTCTTGGGGGAGGAACAGGAGTAAATATTCAGTCCTTATACTATGTACGCATATAAATTTTTCTTTGTGTATTTTGTTATATTTCTGGAGTCTTACACTTTTTGCTGCTTATTACAGTTCTTTAATTTATCTGTGATGTGGCATATGATTGTTCTAAAATGTTCTTTATGTAAAAGTATCACAATTTTTTGTTGAACTCGTTATTTCTCCTATGATGACCACTGTTGCCATGAAGCTGCTTATTTATGTCTCCATTAGGACTTGTCTAAGTCATCACTGTTGTATAAATCTGATACTGTAATTGAATATGGTAATGTACATTTTCAGTGATAAATCATCTCACAATATTTCTTAATGATAAGTAATAAGATTTCCAGTTATACACACCATTATCAACAAAGAGTATCCTTATACTTATTTTTCCATTCTCTTGATATGAGTGGAATCTTATTGAGGTTTTAATTTATCTTACTATGATTATCACTGAAAGTATTATCTTTTTGTGATTATCAATCTATTTAGGGTTATTTTCCCTAAAATCCATATTCATCTTGTCTATCAATTTTGTAGTGTAAGCATATGTAAGTGTAGTTTACTATCGAATAATAGGCTGTCACATGGTGAAAGATATGAATAGAATGCCAGAAGATGGGATAAAATATGGTATGTAAGAGGATATCGATGAATGTCTTCCAGCTACAGAAGGTATGGAACCTGGGACTGTAGTTATGTCAAATCTTAATTCAAAGAGTTTTTTTGTTTTCTCATACTGTTTAGTGAAAAGAAAAATCATGTAGAGCTATAGATTTCCTTTATCTCCACGAATTAAGAGCAAGAGCAAGGAATCGTGGTGTTCTTTTGGTATGAAAAGAAAATTTTGTCAATCTTTGATACCCAGAAAAGCAGGCAAGTCAAAGGGAGTATTGTAATTAGGGCAACAGATGGTCATCCATGATCTGCAAGACCTAGAGACCATGGCCAAAGTCTAAATATCTTGCAGGAGTTGTACATTCAAACAGAAGTTTTATATACAGGTTGAATTTTTTTTTTCCCTCCTTTGGAAACAAATTTATTTTTTAAAAAAAGTCATTCATAAAAATAGAACATTTACTTCTACAATTGTTCCCTCCTTTCTACTATCTTAAAAAGAGGCCTGTCATCAGCCAAAACCAGTTCAGCAGATTATCGGCCACCACCTCGGTTCACGGCGGCCTTTCAGTGAATTCAGACCACTTCATGCTCACGACACAGCTTGACACCACCAGGCAACTGAAGCACAAACTGCAACTTCCAATAATATGGCCCAGCTGGGAAACGGTCTCTTAAAATAAGCTTCCGACGCCATCGCATGAGCTGCAGCACAGCAAATGCAGCCCAGGGAAACTTGCTAGCAGCCCTGGCCCCCACGTGCCGCCTGCGCGGACCAAGGGAAAGTGAGAAGGGACCCTTAGGACGCCAGGGCGCTGTGACGCCCACCTTGCCGGCCTCATCCGGGGCAATACATAAAGACTCGTTTTTTTAGAAAGGGACACCGAATAACAAGCTCTTTCCTGATCTCTGATTGAAGGCTTAATACAAGCAGCACTGTAAGTTCCACACCAAAATCAGACAGAAACACATCTATAACAGGACACGGATTCTGGCGAGACTGGCACTTGATTGCTGTGGCCACTGTGACATTTAGAAGTGTTTTTTTCACACTGCATTCCAAACCAAAACAGCCAACAGGAAATAGGCAAAGTAGGTAGAACTCAATAAAGTCTGAATAATCAGTGCAGGTATTTTCCTGTTTCTGTTCTGCTAGAACAGGCTTTTCTTTTCTTTTCTTTTCTTTCTCTTTTTTTCTTTTGTCTTTTTGAGTCAGGGTTTCATTATGCAGTGCAAGCTGGCCTTGAATTCACTTTGTAGCCCAGGTTAGCCTCAAATTCAGGTGATCCTCCTGCCTCAACCTCCCAGGTGTTGGGATTACAGATGTGCGCCGCCACACCTGACCAGAACAGGCTCGGATGCAAGGACTGGCCTAACCTAGCAAGCTCAGACAGGCCAATCAAAGCTCCGCATGTGGTCTTAGAAAACTGGAGACTTTGCCAAGATAGCTGGTACAGGGCTGGGGTGGGAGACCAAGTCCTGGCCAGAATTCCACTCCAAATATCCTCAGCTCCAAGTAGGAGACTCAACCACAGAGACGAGCTGGAGAACCAGAGGCGGCAGCTAAAGTGGCGAGGCCTAGGCTCCTCTGTCCTGTTACGAAGGGGTGACCACGTGGAGTTCATCAGCATAGCGGTGGCCACCAACTTCTGCTGTGCATAGCCCAGAGGCAAGGAGCTTGGTGGGAAGGGCAGGAGGATCCTCTTCACCCAGGCCTGAGGAGGAGGACACGCTCTCCGTCAGGGATGATGTTTCTGTTTGGTCTGCCGAGAGCCCCTCCATCAGAGGCAGAGAGAGCTCAGAGGAAGGCACCGAGGAGTCATAGATGCCAGAGTCCCTCGGCATGTCCGAGGGGCTGGTAGCTTTCACTGCAAGCAGAAGGGGCTGCAGCACCGAGACCCCATCGTGGGGTGCCTGGACCTCAGCATCCTGGTCCAGGCCCCTGTGTGCACTCTCTAGCTGTGGATACGAGTTCACAGGCACAGTGGCCCCAAGAATAGTGGCCTCAGCCTTTAGGCAGAAATCATTCTCTGGCCCTAGTTTGCCAACGACATCATTTAAAACCAAGCCTGAGTCAAACTTCTCCAGGACTGGCTCTCGGTAGCGCAGTGCAGGAGGACGGAAGGGTACAAACTGCTTTTCAAACCAATCAGGTTCCTCATCAATAAACTGGTGCATGTTGCATATAGCAACGTACAGGGAGCGGCCCGACTTGCTCCGGAAGTAGTTCCTTCTGCTGCCGGGTCCTGCATGCTGTCCAGGCTCCTGGACACTGTGGTCTCCCGAGTGCAGGTGGGAACAGAGCTGCGGAAGGTTGTCCATCAGTTTATATTTGGTGCTGAGGTCCAAAATGCAGGGGACGTCTCCCTCGCAGGAATAATCAAAGTAGACGGTGATGAACTTGCTGAGTGCGGCCGACGAACTCTGCTTGGCCTGGCGGAGCTTCTCAGCAATGGCTGCCACCGCCACCAGGAAGAGCTCCCCTTTCCCTGAACCTCGGCTGCCTCCTTTGTGCTTATAGTTCTTCCTGTCCACAAAATACTTCATGCCTTTGGAACACACCACAATGATGAACTGGGACTCGTGGATCTTCTGGATGACCCATTCTCTCTGCCCTTCTCTGAAGACACTGCGGTCTTCCCACAGGTCCAGGGCCACCTCACAGCCGCAGAAGTCCTGGAGGAAGTAGGCAAAACACTGGACAACATTCATGTGATTCTGGCCATCTTTACTGGAATAGCAGAGGAAGACCTTTGGCCGCGGCCGGAGCCTCTCTCTGGGGACCACAGCAGCATACGTGGAGGACTCAGAATTTTCTTCATCTAAATGTGAATATATATTTTCTTGTTGCTTCTTGCGGCACATCACAGTGAAGAGTGTCGCAAAAGCTGATGTGACAACCAGCGGCACAGTGATGGCCACAGCTCTGATGGGCCCGGCCCACGGGGAATGCACTGGCTTTAAGGCATAATGCATCACCTTTCTCGTTGTGTTACTGTCATCTACCAGCTCGATTATATAATCTCCTGGAGGAACATTTTGAAGGAGGCAGCAGGTCGTCTCTGCATTCTGCTCCTGCTTACAGATCTTGCGCCTGAAGGGTCCTTCATGCTTGAGTTTGTAGTGAAGATAGAAGAAACGAAAGCCAAAGCTGTGCGGCGCATGGTCGAAAGACACCTGCAGGTCCACACCGTGCTGGGTGACGTTTAAGCTGCGGGGCTTCCAGAAGGGCTTACAGGCCAGGTTGTTTGGCTGTAACAGTAGGTCACAGGCCCGGGTTCTGAAGAAAAATGGGTGGTAACTGCTTTCGTTTTTAATGGAAGGAAAAGGGACGATCTTTACAAAGTAATCCATTTCAAATTTCATATTCAGGAAAGGTTGAGATTCCATTCCAGTTCTTTTGAAGCTACTGTTGAGCTGCTTCGGATCCTTTAAAATCAATTGTTGGCACTGTCTTCCCTCTGACTTCAGCTCCTCCAGTATTACCCGAAATCCTTTTAGGAATTCAATGCCAACGGTCCCTGGGGACCAAAGAATGGTGACTGCCACTTGGTCATGGCACGCGTACTGGCTGATGGTGATGTTCTGGGCATCGGCGATCATGTGCTTCCCCACCGGATTCACGTAGGTGGTACAGTTGTCATATCTGAAGGAGATGTTGTTCAGCCCGCTGTTCCTGCTGGCTAGTCCCACTCCCCGCCAGCCGCAGGTGTCGGCGCCCCTCGCGCGCCCAGAGCCGCCCGCAGCCACCGCCAGCTGCGAGCCGTTGAGGCAGGCGTTGACAGTGAAGAAGACAGAGCAGAGCTGCAGCCACGGAGCCATGGCCGTGCGCTCGCCCAGCCCGGCCCTGCTCTGCCCAGGTTGACCTTTGACATAAACATACCAATTAAAATGTTTATAAATATTCACATATTTTTGCCTTGAATAATGGTCAGCTGGTGTTTGTTTTGTATCAAGCATTGAAGAAATGGGGAGTGTAAGGAATGGATTTGGGATCAACTTTGCAAGAGGCTGAGTGGAAAGCAAACATCACATCATTATTATATGGTGTTGTGAGAATCTTGCACAAATAAAGTGCTGCCACCATAGTTTTTGGATAAGAACATATTACTTAGGAACTACATTTTATTCCTCAGGTCCAGTGGTGGTGATGCGATACAAGATCTCTTATTCTTTTATTTGGAGAGTGCAAGCACTAGAGTGTTTCTGGTGTCCTTGAAATAGTATGCAGTTTAGAAATAAGAGACTCATTATTACACTAAATCTCCACCTTGGTTTATTATGGACTCTGAATCACATTTTCCCCATGACAAACCGAGAATGCAAGAAGTCTTTTGAGTCACTAAGTTCCTAATGGCTGTCTTGTGGTTATTATCATTATTTCTCCAAAGGTGAATTCTCTAATCACTGCTTCATGAAGTAATCTTCCTCTCAAGGGAGCCGAAGGCAATGAAACAATTACATTCTGTTTGTCTCTAATTTGGAAATGAAAGTGGAGGATTTCCCCCTGAGTGTTCTCTACTGTTTGTAAATCAATTTCTGAGAGGCTGCAAACAAATGCGTATGAATATATCTACATTGCTTGAATCTGAACACATAATTCTTCTACAAGTTGCAAAGAGTCTTCAAGTCCTATAGACTCTACCTGTGCATTTTAGAGAGAAACAGAAATATCTTCCTATGTCTTCTAGCTAATGGTATCTGTTGATCATCTAAGGGACTAAGAGGAGTAGAATTTATACTCAATGAAATGACTGTATATATTGCTTGGTATGTGTTCATGTATGCATCCAGTGTGAACTACTAATCCTCAGATTCTATCTTTTCTCAAACCAGGGTATGATAGATAGCTGTGTGTAAAGTAATTTATCTTGACTCGAGATAGAATCTAAAGTTTGAAAGAGTACACCAAAACCAATTCTCCTTGTTAATATCTTTTCTCTGATTGATTCTATAACTAATTCTTGAAAGGACAATGAAAAATAACTTATTTTTGTTATCCTTATTCTCCAGTCTGTCTTACTGATACCAATTCTCTATAATTTTCACAATCCATGTGCAAGCAGATATTATTTTATACCTAAATTACTGCAATAACCTCATGTTATTTCCTGCTGACAATATTTTCTTGCTGTAATCTGATATCTAACCAGTAACAGTAAGATGTTTAAACCTTTTGGTCATTTCTCCTCTTAAGCCTTTTCTTTTAGGAACTATTTCTTTTGGAATAGACTCAAAACTTCTGGGGAGATAGCTCAGTAGAATGAGCACTTGCCTGGCAAGTATAAGAGCCTGAGTTCAATCCCTGGTTCCACAAAACAAAACAAAACAAAAAAACCAAACGAACTTCCTTAAGAGATCAGAAAAGGTCTTATGTACTCTGACTTTTAATAATTTCTCCAGTCCCATTATCTTTCCTGGGATGAGTATAGTCTTGCATTTTCTCTGTTTTTTTGAGTGTCCTAGCTCTCTCTTTTATGAACATTAATTTTATAATCTTCATAGGAAATATTCTATTCAGGATTCCCTTTTAAAATTTTTGCTGTCATTTTGGAGACTCTGTATTTTATTTTGTGGTGGTAGGGATTTAGGGCCTTTGCACTGAGTTATTACTCTGTCTTTTTAAACATTTTTATTTTGACACAGGGTCTCTTGAAGTCACCGTGTTGCCAGGAAAGGGCTTAACTTGTGATCTTCCTGCCTCAGCCTCCCACAGCGCTGGGATTACAGGTAGATACCACGTGTCCAGCTTCAGACTCCTTTTAAAGAACACACCAAAACTACTCCCTTAACACATTAGTCTTTTGTTATGTCATATTACATCACAATAATGAGTATGTCTATTTAAATTTTCTCATCAACATCATGAACTTCTAGTCTCCCCAGATTTGAAACACTGTCTGATCTGCTGATTATACAGATGTTTCATGGTTTTACTAAAATATTTTTATCAGGTACATACAGTGAGAAAAACCATCTCATTGACTATGCTTTGTTTGTACCATCACTAGCCCATGAATGTAGGCAAGAGCTTGTGATATTCATAAATATGATCACACACTGACTAGATAAAACCAGGTTGTATTATTTTTTTTTCAGGTTGTGCTATGGAGTCGTCCCAGTGATCTCTCATCCATATTTCCATCTTTGTTTCCATCTACAGAAAATGAGAAGAGCATGAAGAGGGACAATCACAGCAGTGCATCTGAATTCATCCTCCTGGGACTCCCCATCTGGCTAGAAGAGCAGAGCCTGTTCTACACCCTGTTTCTGGTCATGTACCTGACCACGGTGCTGGGGAACCTGCTCATCATCCTGCTTATCAGGCTGGACTCTCGCCTCCACAGCCCCATGTACTTCTTCCTCAGCCACTTGGCCTTCTCTGATGTCTCCTTATCATCTGTCACTGTCCCAAAGATGCTTATGAATATGCAGACACAGAATCAATCCATCTCATACACTCAGTGCATCTTCCAGGAATTTTTTTTCTTACTTTTCGGTGGTCTTGACAGCTTCCTTCTCACCTCAATGGCCTACGACAGGTATGTGGCCATCTGTCACCCCCTGCACTACACCACCATCATGAGCCAGAGACGCTGCTTCCTGCTAGTAATTGTGTCCTGGCTCTTGTCCATTGCCATCACCCTTGTGCACACTCTTCTCCTACTGCGTCTATCTTTCTCTCGAGACAACACCCTGCACCACTTCTTCTGTGACCTCTCTGCCTTACTTAAGTTGTCCAGCTCAGACACCACCCTCAACGAGCTGGTTATTCTCACTGTAGGAACTGTGGTCATTACTTTGCCATTTATATGCATTCTGGTCTCTTATGGCCACATTGGGGCCACCATCCTGAGAGCTCCTTCAATCAAGGGAATCTGCAAAGCCTTGTCCACATGCGGCTCTCATCTCTGTGTGGTTTCCCTCTACTATGGAGCAATTATTGGGCTCTACTTTTTCCCCTCATCCAGTGACAATAATGACAAAGATATCATTGTGGCTGCGATGTACAGTCTGGTCACACCCATGGTAAATCCCTTTATCTACAGTCTGAGGAATCGGGATATGAAAAGTGCTCTGAGAAATCTACTCAGTAGAGGAATTTTTTCAGGGTGATGGGAACCATGATTCTATTAACTAGATATGAGAACTTGTCAATCTCTTACATACATCCTTTCCTTTCTGATTTGCTGTCTAGTGACTATTGATGTGGCACATATTTGAGCTTGTCCTTTAACTTGGACATAGTTTTTCTTCTGTTTTATATTCTTGTGTTTTTTTTTTTGTTTGTTTGTTTGTTTGTTTTTTTGTACAGGGGATTGAATTCGTGACCTTGAGCTTGCCAGGCAGGCCCTTATGCCGCTGAGCTATCTCCCCTGCTGCTTTGTTGATTTTGAGAGTCTTGGGATTGCTTCTGGAAGATGAGCTGTTAACTTTCCTTTTCCTATTCGTATGGCATCTTTTTCTTACAAAGTTTATGCGTACAAAGATATCTTGCAGCTTTTCCTAAAAAGCAAAAACCTTTTTATCTTTTCTCACAGCAGGTTTTTGCCTCTGCCCTGATTTTATTTTTATTTTTTTGTGTTAATTTTGTAATCAAACTTGAATTTATTTTTGCTAGTAAACTTGATAATAGACGCAGTTTTTCTTTTGCTTATAATTTCTTATTTATTCATTCTAGTTGACACAAGTGTAACATATTACTGGATACCATGTAATGCTTTGATGTGTGAAGATATTTTGTGTTGTGCAATGCTAAAAGACTCATTTCCTTAAATATATGTCATATCCTTTTTCAGTGAAAATATTTAAAATACTTTCTTGTAGCTTTTATGGAGCATACAGCATGTTTTTTTTTTTTATCCTTAGATATATAATATGTAATAAGACAGTAGAACTTATCTAAATATCTTATTACACATTGACAAAGCTTTCACTATCTTTCTTCTCCCTGCACCTTCTCCATCCAATTATAATTTCTTATTTATTGTTCAATGTTTTTAAAAGTCATATTTTTTAGACTAATGGCAACTGAATGGACCTGGCCAAAATCAAAGTTAGATGGATTTCTGGGATTTTTTTCCCCCCATACAGGGTCTCGCTGTGTAATTTAGTCTAGTTTTGTACTCATTATTTATAGTCAGGCTGACTCAAATTTGAAGCAGTCCTACTTCTTTCATTTGACTTCTGGGGTTACAGGCATGTGCTACCACACCCAGAAAGATTGCTCTCTGTAAACAACCAGGACAGTGGTTCAAGACTAAGATACTTGTCTTAAGTGGTGACTAAACTCTTGAGTGTAGCCCTCGAGGTCCTCGGCATGTCAGGTGCATGTGAAGCCCAGTAATGGGGTGTTAAAAACTTTCCGGATGGTGCAGTGATAGTGGGGGAGTGATGCATTCTGATAAGGAGGCTCAGCTTCTCCAGGTCGGGACTAGGGAACAGCTAGGAAGATGTCTGGAGCACAGGCCATCTGAAATGAGTTCAAACAGGACTTGAGTGTAGTTTACTGTAATTCTTATTTTAAAATGAAAAATAAAAGGAAGTTATCTACTTCTGTTCAAGGCAAAGAAACTTAAACTTCTCTGGTGACTGTCAACTCTATTCATTAAGAGGATGTAACTATATATCTATCCTAACCACTTTGAATACACAGATACAAAATGGACATTCATTTGTATACCCTTTTTTTTGTTAAGTTCCGTTATTTGAATATTATAGGTGTGTTAACTCAGCAAAATAATCTAAA